ATTCCCTGGCCCAGATGAATTGTATCCCAGGCTACTTCTCTAAGGTGAGGCAATAAATTTCAGGGGCTCTGGCATATTTTTTTTTCCGTCCCTGGCCATAGGGCAAGGGCCAGAGGGCTGGAAGATGGCTAATGCGGTTCCACTTTTTAAGAGGGGTGGTAGAGATGAACCATGAAATTACAGACTGGTGAGTCTCACACCAATGGTAGGGAAACAATTGAAGAAAATTCTGAAGGAGCAAATTAATACCCACTTGGAAAGCCATGGGTTAATTAGCATAGTCAGCATGAATTTGTCAGAGGGACGTAACGCCTAAAATGTCTGTTAGAATTTTTTTTGAAAATGTGATCAAGTATGTGGATGAGGGAAGTTCAGTTGATGCAGTTTATATGAGTTTTAGCAATGCTTTTGACAAGATCCAAGATGGGAGACTGATTGAGAACATTAATGTATATGGAATTGAGGGAAACTTGACAAGATGGATCAGAAACTGACTTAGTTATAGGACACAAAGGGTAGTGTTGAAGGCCATTGGAGTAACTGGAGGCTGGTGTCTAGCAAAGTACCACAAGGATCAATACTGGGACCCTTATTGTTTGTTATATATATAAATTATATGGATGAAAAAATGGGGAATGTTAAGTAATCTTGCAGATAATACCAGGATTGGTAGAGTGGTTAATAGAGAAGAAGATGGATGTAGGTTACAGAAAAATGTAAATGGGTTGGTCAGATGGGCAGACTTGTGTCAGATGGTATTTAACCCTGATAAGTGTGAGGTGATGCACATTAAAAGAAGAAACAAGATGAGGCAATATTTAATGAATGGCAGAACCCTGAGTAGCTTAGATTTACAGAGGGATCTTGGGGTAATTATTTACAGATCCCTGAAGTTGGCAGAGCATGTGAGTAGCATAGTTAAGAAGACAAATGGGATGCTTGCTTTCATCAGTCATGGCATAGAGTATAACACAAGAAGGTAATGTTGGAGTTGTACAAAGTGTTGGTCAGGCCACAAATAGGCTACTGTGTGTACTTCTGGTCACCTTATTACAGGAAGGATGTAATAGCACTAGAGGGAATAAAGACGAGGTTTACCAGGATGTTGCCTGAACTATATAGAAAGTGAACTATAAGGCGAGATGAGATAAGTTTGGATTGTTTTCTTAGAGAAGACAAGACTTAGGGCAGGCATGATTGAGGTTTATAAGATAATGCAGAGAATGGAGAGGGTTGAGGGGTCAATCATGAGAGGGCATAGTTTTTGGGCAAGGGGCAGGATCTCCAGAGGGGATTTTGGAAAAATCTTTTTCACTCAGCAGGTGGTGGGAGTCTGGAATGCCCAGCCTTGGAAGGTAGTGGAGGCTGGATACCTTACAACCTTTAAAAAATATTTGGAGTACTTCAAATATCATAACATTCAAGGATATGGGACAAGTGCAAAATGTTGGTATTAGCACATTTAGTGGTGGTTGTGTTGGTGCAGACTCAATGGGCCAAAGGGCCTTTTCTGTACTATATGAATCGATGAATCCTGACTTGGAACTACATCACAGTTCTTTCATTGTCACTGAGTCAAACACCTAAAACTACCTAGCAACTAACCATCCACTTCTCGGAGCAAGTAGGGCTGGGCGATGTATGCTGGCCCAGCCAATAATGCCCACATGCTGTAAAAGAGTAAAACAAAACATATCAAGCCAATCACTAAATGACTACACATGTACTAGTTTGATTTTTCCGCTTCATAATTTTGAAAATTGAGATTAACTTTGATGCATCGACTTTGACAGGTTGGGTGTATCTAATTTGTTGCAGAAAAAGAGCTTTGCTAACCTATACACGCATGCTAGTTATTAGAGAGAGAATAAAAAAAACGACGCATCTTGGGTTGTGAATCTATATTGATTGTATGCATTTGAAGTGCATGTAGCAAAAGAAAATGCATCTTCGTTTTCCTCGTATAATTTAAGATCCCTGTCAGGCATTTTAGGAAAGATATATTTTACAAGCTCCAGACGAAAACTCCCAGCTCTTCTCTAATCCCCTGGCTCAGCCAAGCACATTTCAGATTCTTACCTTTAGGGCTAAATTCTCATCTTTAAGCCAGCTCAGGTTCTAATTAAAAAGGATTTCAGATTTTTATTTTATTCAAGCCTGTACCTCAACATATTGCACTCAAAGCAACCGTTTGTATCTTATATAACTATTGTGTCCAATCCTTTCGTGTCAAGGAGAATTATTGTTCTTGCCAGTGGCAATCTGGATCAATTGCACCACCAAGAGACATAGCTTCAGCTGCTTGTGTCGCTCAATTAGTGGAGAAAGTCTGGGCCTGGACAGCTTTGTGCTAAGTCGTAGACTTCCTTCACAACCTCATGTCTTGCTTCGTGACTTTTGATATTCACTACCGCCCACATCTCCTTCCCCAATGGAATTAATTTCGCTCTTGGCATGTGCATGTCTTATGCACCAACTTAGGACAAGAAAGATCAGAGGTCGTTTGTTTTGTTTCCATGGGAACCCGTGTTTGAAATTTCGCCCAGAGTCTGTTTCTAATATCAGCTTTATGCGAGGGAGTTTCAATTTCAGAAGGCTAAGGTCAAAAATATATTCTTTTGCGTTTTGCAAACTTGTCCGTATTCAACTTCTTCATGTCCAGAAACAAATTACTAATAGAGAACTGTGATGATGGAAAAATAATTCAGTGCATTTTAAAATGTTCAATCACTGGGTTGTATTTTTTAAAAAAAAATCCTGTCCTACATGTTAACTAACTGATTCCCTCACACCCAATGCAGCCGCAAACAGCAGAGAGAATATGGGGATCTACATGAAGTGGTGGCAATGCATTGCCTGATTGATGACAGATTATAACGATAAAGTGGCCACAGCCCCTTTATATGGCTGCTCGCTCATTCGCGAAAGACAGCTGATGGTGAGTTTAACCGGAGCGTCACCACACCTCTTACGAGGTTGAGCAGGTGGGACCTTCATGGTACCTTCAGTCGGGATGGGAAGTGAACACACTCAGATGGCGTCATTCTGAGATGGCGGTTTACCGCCTGCGAGATTCCACACTAAGTTTTCTGTCAGGGTTTACTCCCGGAAACTTCTCTTCTGAGGCACCCACGAGTCGGTGGGGCTATTCATCATGGCTGGTATCTGATCCATGGACATAAGGGCGTAACAACTAACATTGGGGCTGGACGCCAGACGTGTGACGGTGAGGGGTACAGGTCTCCCTCAAATCCCTTGGAATTTCGTCTGGGTCGGCGAGATAACCAGGAAAAATCCACCTCGTGCTTGGGCTGAGACCGGCCCTCATTTCGAAATGGGTACACTGCGAGCCAGTAGTGACAGCTGGTGGCAAGAAGTGCCAAGCCGACTGGCCACTGTGCACCACCCTCTGCTAACACCAGGCATATCACATCAAGTGGACTCACACTGCTTTAAGAACGAGGTACCAATTTTCTGCAGATTTTGGCACAATTTGGGAGGCTTCATTACAGAAGAGGATCCAACTTTTTATGGACTGTGAAAATAAGTAAACAAAAATCCAGGGTATGTGTTTAAAAGTCTAAATCCTGGGTATTTTGTGTTGCGGTTGAACCTCGCCTTGCGTACACACCTGACAATTCACGAGTCAGGCCACTTGTTTCCTTTTAAACGTGAATGGTCTGTATTCTATAATTCATATCACTCATTGTATTGTTCTCCCTAGTAATGTTTTCCTGAAGGTCACAGCTTTGAATGACCATCACTAGGCGAAAAACTCTGATTTTGCGCGCCCTTGTCACAGTGTACTAATTCCTACTTGACTTGCATATTGTTGCACTCGTTTATCTAGCTAAGTCTTCAATACTCTATCTCTGTAAAGCTTCTCATCACTCCTTTCATAGATGCACATGCACTATCTGAAAGTGCAAATGATGTGTAGATACTTAGTAAATGTGACTTTAGTCTATGCATATAACATAATGCAACCGAGGCCAGCTAAAGTAATTGCATCGTTTATTATGTAGGGTTCAGTGCAGAAGTAATTCAGGTTCCTTTAGGATTTCTGCCAAAGGTCCTTTGAAGAATTGTTCATGGCTTATTAGGTTTGGACATTCACTGGAAGCTCCGGAAGCAAGTTTTCACGCGAATGCACAGTAATGAGTTTAATAAGTTAACTCCAAATGTAAGAAAAAGCGAATGCTGCCGAATATGCAGGATGTTTGGTAATGTAATGCGAACGATCTACCTTACCTATTGCTCCCATCGGTCAATTGTCTACCTCGATTTTCATTCACGTGAAATGCACTCGTTTCTGAAGAAAAAAAATGTCATTAGCCATGGTCTGTCAGCTTTTCAATGTACACCAATGATAATATAACATGTTCAGCGGGCATTCTTTATGGAAAACACGAGCTCTAATAACCTGCATTGAAATAGCATAGGCAGAAAGGGGAGGGACACATTGTCACATTTTACAACTCATAGAGATATTTTGAACATCGAGCATCGCAGGAAGATAAAATTGCCTGTTAGCTTTTAAAATCTGGATCTAGAAGACAGAATGTTGACGTCTAATAATTGCATTTTACGTGCACCGTGTCTTTAACTAATGTCAAATGTTCCGCGCTGTTTTCTCGCTGTTGCTGTCCGCCACCCAGTACTGATATGAGTGCGGAGAGCCTTCAGACCTTCAACACAAAGAAGCCACCTCCACAGACACACGCACAGAGCGCGCTGTGCGATCTTAAGTACAGCATCGGAATTGCAGATATCATCACGGCTCTACTGTCCACATTGGGAGCAGATGGGAACAACGCTACAATAAAAGCAGACAGCTTTCCTTTGGAAGAAATATTTTATTGAAACTATACAAGAGATCCGAAGATTGCGTGGATTAATATATGTACCACTGATATAAGTTATTAACCAATATATTCCGGAGGCGATTTCTCTTCAAAATCTCCCAGTAGGAATCAGAAAGCTCCCCGATTGCCAGAGAAATGATTACTGGAAAGACATCGTGGATAGGAACAAGGCAAGTGTTGTGCTTTTTTGCCGTGTCCTGCTTTGCAAATTTGATTTCTGGACAAATCCGCTACAGAATTCCGGAAGAACTAAAGCATGGAGCTTTTGTTGCCAATATTGCTGATGATTTAGGTTTAAATGTCAGTAAGCTAAGCGCCAGAAGACTGCGTATCGTGTCTAGTGCTTCTACGCAATACTTAGAGGTAAATTTGGGCAATGGCATTTTGTTCGTGAATGAAAAAATAGATAGGGAGCAGCTCTGTGGTCTGATTCTTACTTGTTTTCTACATTTGGAAGTTGTTATCGAAAATCCTCTCGAGCTGTACCGTATTGAAGTGGAGATTCTGGATATAAATGATAACTCACCAACTTTCTTGAGGAAGGATATCTTTTTGGATATTATAGAATCGGCTTTGCCAGGGACAAGATTCCCTCTCGAGAGCGCTCACGACCCAGACGTGGGCACTAACTCAGTTCACACTTATTGGCTCAGTCCAAATGACCATTTTACCTTGGATGTGGAGACACGAAGTGATCGCAGCAAATTTGCAGAGCTAGTGTTGGATAAAATGCTGGACAGAGAACAACAACAGGCCCATCATCTAGTTCTGGCGGCTGTTGACGGTGGGATTCCAAAGCGGTCTGGTTCTGCCCTGATCACTGTTAATGTCCTGGACGCCAATGACAATTTACCTGTGTTCGAACAGGCAATTTACAAAGTTTCCTTGGAAGAAAACGCACCCAAGGGGGGGTTAATATTAACATTGAACGCCAGCGATTTAGACGAAGGCTCCAATAGCGAGATCGTATATTCTTTCAGTAGTCATACTCCGCCGAGAGTGCGCGAACTGTTTAACGTGGACTCCCATACAGGTGAGATTCGAGTTAAAAGTAATATAGATCACGAAGAACTGAATACGTACGAAATCTATATTCAAGCCAAGGATAAAGGTGGCCCCTATGCAATACCTGTGCATTGCAAGATTCTTGTAGACATAGTTGATGTGAATGACAATGCGCCTGAAGTGATCCTGACTTCGTTGTCAAGTCCAGTGATGGAAGACGCCATGATCGGGACAGTGATTGCTCTCATTAGTGTTACCGACCGAGATTCTGGGGAAAATGGGCAGATTAACTGTGAGGTTGTTCAGGACGTTCCATTTAAGCTTCAGTCGTCTTTTAAGAATTATTACACATTGGTGACGACCGCTCCTCTGGACCGTGAAAGGGTACCAGAATATAACATCACAATTACGGCCACTGATTCAGGATATCCTTCTCTTTCTACCAACAAATCTATATTTCTAAAGGTTTCAGACGTGAATGACAACGCTCCAAGGTTTTCGAAATCTTCATATACAGTGTATGTCACGGAAAACAACGCACCTGGCGCTACCGTTTGCTTCGTGACAGCATTGGACCCTGATTCGAATCAAAACGCCTATCTATCTTATTCTATCATGGACAGCACGATCCACGGATTACCTTCCAGAACCTATGTCTCAATCAATTCGGATAATGGTAACGTTTACGCATTACGTTCATTCGACTACGAACAACTAACAGATTTCCAAATCCAAATCCAAGCTCAGGATGCTGGATTTCCACCACTCAGTGGCTCTACCAAAGTAAATGTGATCATCTTGGATCAGAATGACAACGTTCCTGTGATTGTGTCCCCACGGCCAAGGAACGGTTCAGTTGCACTACAGAAGCTGTCGCAATCTTTTCACCCGGGGCAGTTACTGATCAAAGTCATTGCCACAGACGCCGACTCTGGGCAGAATGCAAAGCTCTCCTATCAATTATTGCAAGCAACAGATCCTACGTTATTCAACGTGGCACTCCACACAGGAGAAATAAGGACGACCCGGCGTTTGAGAGACAGAAATGTCCCTAAGCAAACTCTGCTCATCCTGGTGAAAGATAACGGGCAACCTTCGCTTTCAGCCACGGTCTCCATCGTATTTTCAATAATGGACAACATTACAGATAATCCGCCAAAAATCAGTAATTTGCCTGAGAATGCAGAGCAAAATTCCGCTTTATTATTTTATATAATTATCACATTGGGATGCATTTCATTTGTATTCATTGTGGCCATTATTATCGTCGCTACCATCAAGTACTACCAATACAGAAACAATGCCCATAGCTGCAACACCACCGTCGGGAATTGTTGTTGCATTCAGCATTTGAATTCGGCAGATGTTCTGCAAACATCTAAAACAAATCCCCAAGTAACGACCAATCCCAAAGCGCCTCCTGACTTTTTGGAGGTAGGTGGAAGTGGGACTGTCTCACAGGCCTATTATTACAAGGTGTGTTTGACCCCTGAATCTGCGAGGAGTGATTTTACTTTCCTCAAACCGTACAGCCCAGGAAAGCCCAAAGGTCGAACAAGCTGTAGTGACCCGGGTGGAGTGGAATGGAAAGGATATTCACCAAAACCTTCAAACACTGATGTTTCAACTGCCAATGTCAATAGGAAAATCATTAAATTTCGCGAGTGGAATGGAAATATAACCAATCAGGTGAGATATTTCTTGGCCAATCATCAGAGTTGTTCAATTACGTTATTATACTTTTCACAGTTTAGGTATCCATCTCTGTTTTAAGCCAATATCGAGACTCTTCCTTTTTGTTGATTTACTTATGTATGCATCGTGTCAAGTAGTTTTCATCTGAAGAAGTTCTTAATTTGTATTCATGGTTTGTTTACTGGTTCTATGTACAGTTGATTGAAACTTAACCTTAAGTATTACTTATGCTACTACCTTTGCCTGGCAATTCTACATATTTAGATTGTTCCTATTTCATGACATACTAATTTGTTGCAAAATACTACATTTGAGCACCATCAAATTATGTGTACTTGAAAAGTACAAACTAGACACATGCTAGTGTACTGAAAACATTTACTGAAATTGTACTTTTGATTGAATTCCTACTATATGCTATTTGTTATGCTACTGAAAATTACTATGCTTCAAGTATATACCATATTTGTTCATTTGGGAATTATAAGTAGCAAGAATGCTTTCATTAGATGATATTAAAGATGATGAGGTTTTTAACAACCACCTACTTCACATTATTAAATATTCCTGACCATTAACTTGCTGAATTAAAGTGTGACATTACAGCAAAGAATGAAATTAAATACCTTTCCTCTGCCATTTAAGACAGCAAAATGCAGCTAAATATATTTTCATTATGCTACGCACGTTTAAACAATTGATGTTTGAACATATTTATTGATGCAATTTTAGACTAAGATAAAATGTACTGTCTTCCTTTATAGCAAATACACAGACCTTCAGTGAATGAAGTATCATCTGTGTCTTAACCTGTGGATCATCGTCTGATTACAATTATATATAGAACAGCAGATGATCTATGACTCATTAGCAATTTTTCAATACTGTAATAAAACAGAAAAAAAATTAAGAGATGACAATCTTCTGCAGGTTAACCAATAATCACATGTTGACTGAATTTGTGTTTTAAATCTCTCAGCGTTTTCCACCAATATTCAATTAGATTGGAAAACCTTCCACAGGGGCAGCATGTTAATTGCTAAAGTACACATCAGTTATAATTATAAAACAGTTTTATGAAACAACACTTTATGGATGTCAATTGATTTTTGCTACTTATAAAGTAGTCTAAGTAGTTAAAACTGAATATTTACTGACACATACTTATGCAAATATTGTGAAACCAGCAATGTGGTACCACCACACAGATAAGTCTTACAAATGTATAATCATGGAAAATCAAGGTTTGCAGGAACCAAACAGTGCTAGAGAGCCAACTAAGCAACATCATTTTACTAACATTCAATTCAACATCAAGCAGTGTTTCTTCCTCATATATACAGTTTGAGTGCATGTTAAATCAGCTTAAAAATGATGGGCAATTATACTTTTCTCGTGTCAAAATATTTCCTCTGCTCTTGACAGACATGGCCGAGCCGCTAGTAAAAGTAAAACCCTCTATTTGCATCCAATTTTATCCTTGGCATTCTTGATACATAGATTCTCTGTATTACTTTATTCCTGTTGCACTTTATTTGTTGAAGAGATGCACACATCATTGCAAAGGCCAAAACTTATTGCCCAACCTTATTTGTCTTTGAGAAAATGGTATTAAGCCCACCTTCTGGAATCACTTTTTTATACAATTCAGATAGAGAGCCTAGTACTGACAGATAGCAAATTCTAAGTTTTTAACTAAATTAAAATGAAAATATATTTCCTATTCAGAATATTGTGCAACTTGAAGGAAATTATAGGTTGCCGTATTTCATTCCACTATATAAGAAAGATGACAGAGTTAAAAAAAAAAACAGGTTATACATTTATTAGCCCAATATCTTTTACAGGGCATCACTTGCATTGATAATTAAGGATTATTTGATGAACACCTTTTAATTTTATAGCTAAGTAGTGAGATCTAGAATGACATTATGAAGGGTGTGTTATGCCTAATCAATTTCAGGGAATTTTCTTAGGAGGTGACTAAAGTAGTGAAAAGGAAAATATCTAATAAAAAAAAATGACATGGATTTCATAAGGCATTTGATGCAATTCTGAAAGGGCAAAATTAGTAATGCTAAAACTTGACAGTTCACTGGGCTCTGATGTAGGCATTGGAAATGACAATGACAAACTCAATCCTTTCGATCAAGCAACCTCCTGCTAACTAACATCTAGTGCAAAAATTGGGAGAACTATTCCAACAGTATTCAATCAAGGGCCTGACAAAGACATATGCAAGGAATTAGTCACTGCAGACAATTTCCAGGCACCACCATTACCATCCTTGCATATATCCTGCCCCAGAACAACTAAAGGTGCTGGCACACTGGTAGATATTCATGATAGCGTTGCCATGGGAATCCTTAAAATTGATTCTAGACCACCATGAAGTCTTAAGACATCAAGTTAAATACAGAAAAAGAATCCTCCTGCTGAATGCAACTTACTGCCTCACCCCACACCTACTGGCCAATAAATCAGAACTTCTCCATGTTAAACACCAATTAGAAGAAATACTAAGGGTAGAAAGGACACATAACAAACTAAGTGGGGGAGTTCACTGTCACTCACTAAGAGTGGCTCAGCAGAAACATGATAGACTGATTTGACAAATTCTTAAAAAATATTACTGTTAGACAAGGGACAACAGGTAGTGAGAGAACTTACTAAACCTATTTCAGTTCATCATCACATGTTTTCTTGTTTCTGTGCATGGAGTAATGGTAGGAATGATCACAACACAGTTATTGGAAGAAGTACACCCTTCATGATGAGGATTCACTGAATCATATTACATCATGCGAAATTTAATACATTTCAGACAGATCTAGCAACTCAAAACTGAGAATATCTGACACATGGTGACCCATTAGACGGAGCAGATTGTGCATGACCACAATCTGTGAACTCTTTGTAGAGCATATGTCCCAATCTCCCACTACCATGAATTAATTAAAGGTTAATTAAAGAGTGTAAGGGGCATGCCAGGAGGAGTGCCAGGGATATATAAACACAGGTGAATCTGGTGAAGCTACAAGACAAAACTACTTGCATGCTAAACTGCAGAAGCAACATACAATAAACAGGGTTAAGAGATCTTATGACTACTGGAGCAGATTTAAACTTTGCAGTCCTGCTGCATCCAACCATAAATGGTGCTGAACAATTAGACAACTAACAATAGATGATGACAACTTAAATATCTGTGTCATTAATGAAGAAGGTAGTCCAAACATCAAAGCATTTGCCACCATCGTCAGCCATATGTATCAAATAGATGATCCATCTCAGCCTTGTCCTGAGGTCACAAATAACAGCCTGTAGCAAATTTTATTCACTCTACATGATATCAAGAAGGCACTGGATACTGCAAAGTCTAAGGGCCCTTACAATATTCTGGCAAAATCTGTTGAAGATTTGTGCTCAGCACTCCAGTGCTCCTGTTAAATTTATTCAAGGCTGAGAAGACAGACTTGTAATCAGAAACGGAATCTGCATTGTGAAGATAAAGCATGAAAATTAATTTTACAATTATTAGCTCAGCTATGATCTCATTGAATTGTGGAACAAACTGGATGAACAATTTCTGTTTTTACATCATATGATTGCATGGTCTTGTATAAAGAAGCTATTCCAGCTCAGCTATAATACTGGCATCTAAACAGCATGTGGAAATTAGCCTAGGTATGTCCTGTCTGGAAAACGAAAAAAAGATAAACTCAAGCTTGTCTATTGCCAGCATACTCTTGATCATCATCAAAGTGATCGAAGGGCGCATCAACAGTGCCACAACATAACACTTGCTTGTTAATAACTTGTTCACTGATGTTCAGTTTGCACTCTATTGGACCTGCTCAGGTCCTGACCTCATAATAGCCTTTGTCCAATCATGGACAAAAGAGGTGAATTCTTGAGGTGAAGAAAAAGTGAATGGACTTGACATTAAAGCAACGTCTGACTGAGAAATGTATCAAGGAACAAAATTGAAGTTAATGGGAATCAAAGGTAAAACTCTCAAATGGTTGTAATCAGGCAAAGTGCAAAGAAAATGACTGCTGGTTGGAGGCCAATCATCTGAGGCTCAGAAAATCTCTGAAGGAATTCCTCACTGTGAATATTTTCTAATCAACCTGTTCAAAGACTTTATTACACAGCTCTGGAGACAGTGGGACTTCTACCCAAGTGTCTTGGTCCAGAGACAGAGATACCATCACAGCACCACAAGAGCCCTAAGGTTATCAATGCAGCGACCATGACCATGGCAGAGAGGTTTGTTAGTGTCACTTGGAAAGATTTAAACTAGTATGGCAAAGGGTTGGGAACCAGAACACTATTCAGCATGTGAAATGACCAAGGAGAAGTTAGAGTTTAAGGCCAGCTAAACTAAAAGGAAGTGGTATTGAACACAACAGGCCTGGCAATTTGAAGTGTATTTGTTTTAAAAACCGAAAGAACTGCGGATGCTGTAAATCAGGAACAAAAGCAAATTTGCTGGAAAAGCTCAGCAGGTCTGGCAGCATCTGTGAAGGTAAAAACAGAGTTAACGTTTCGGGTCCAGTGACCCTTCCTCAGAACTGATCCGGACTTGAAACATTAACTCTGTTTTTTCCTTCACAGATGCTGCCAGACCTGCTGAGCTTTTCCAGCAAATTTGTTTTTGTATTTGTTTTAACATGAGGAGTTTGACAGGTAAGACAAATAAATTTAGAACTGGGATCAGGACATATACTATGATGTAGATATTACAGAGATTTGGTTGAGAGAGGGACAGGACTGATAGCTGAACATTCTTGGATTTAGATATTTCAAGCAAGAGAGGGAGGGATGTTAAACAGGTGGGGGAGTTGCAATACTGATTATGGAGAACATCAAAGCTGTACTCAGGACAACTTGGAGGGCTCATCCAGGGAGGCCATATGGATAGAGCTCAGGAATAGGAAGGGTGCAATAACTTTGACAGAGTTGTCCCACAGGCCTCCCAACAGCCATTG